ACCCTCCGGGCGCGCCCCGACTTCCCGGAACCCCCGCGGCTCCCCGCCCCGCCCGCGAGGCCCCGCCCCAGTCCCGCGCCCCCCGGCCCCGCGAGCCCTCCGGGCGCGCCCCCGCGCGGGACCAGGCCGGCAGAGGGCGGGGTCGCTCACCCGTCCGCAGCTCATGCTTGACAGGGAGGAAGCGGTTTTCCCCGGCGCCGGCATACCCGCCGGGTCCATCGGCGACGCCGCCGCTGCCGCTCTCCTCCTCCATCTTTCTCCCGGTCGGATCCCGCAGACTTCTCCGAGGGGACGCGGGAGGCAGCGGACGCCCGGCCCCGCACGGCTCCCGCTGCAGTCCCCGGAGCCGGGGCGGGCGCGGCGGCTCCAGAACTCGGACGCACGGCGGAGTCTCTTTCCCGCTCTGGCCGCACGGCTCGCTCCTCCGCCTCCTCCCCCTCCAGCTGGCACCGCTAGTACCGCGCAACCAACCCGCCCCGTGCTCCCCCGCCTCCTCCTGCCAGCCGCCCCGCCCACAGCCAGCGAGGTACCGGAGCCCTTCGAGCAGCCAGCGCTTATTGGGCCCGAGGCGCGCGCATCTCTGGACGGCGGCTCCCATTGGGCAAACCCGCTGTGACTTCTCAGCACCCGCCCCGCCCCGCTCCTCGAATTGTTGTTGCTCGGCGGGGAGGCAGCAGAGGCAGGAGCGCGACTACTCCGATTGGTGCGATCCGCGAGTTTGCCCCGCCTATTCCCCCCGGTGCGCACGCGCAGCCAGGACCCTCCCTTCCCTCCTCTGACCTCCTCAGAACGGTCACGCCCCCACCCCCCAGCTTCTATCTGTTAGTAAACAGTGTCTAGTAGTCAGGAGGCGCTCGGGGTGTGTGATTGGCTGTTGCTGAAAGAGGCGGGAAGGCTGATTGGAACGTTTGGTCCGCCAATCACTGTGGGCAGAAGAGGGTGCCTGGAGGGTAGTGTTTCTCCTGCAGGTGTTCGCAGGGCGAATCTAGGATCACTAGTGTGTGATCAGCGGGAAGACAGCGTTTCTTAAGAAGGTGTTACTCGCAGTAGGGAACCCTAAACAAGTGAAGTGGCGTGTGTGCTTACATACAGGCAGTTCTTGGCAAAAAGCCTTCCCCAGCCCTAGATGAGGACTTTTGCAAAGGATAGATATTTCCATTTTGTACGAGACACGTACTAGGCACTAAAAGGATGCAGAGGTTAATAAAATAGAATATAACCCCTCTCCCCAAGCAGCTTTCAATAGAATATGAGAAAAACAGATAATCTGTGTATATACCCAGGAAGCTTTATAGCAGAATTTGAAATAAAACAGTCATACAAACTGTTAGAGAACCGAACTGATGTCAATAATTATTCTCAGTAGAGATGCTGGGGAAGGCTTTTAGGGCGAGGAGGCATTTGAGATAACCAATTTAAAGGATGGGAACGATGGAAATACCAGAAACAGACATTTCATAGAAATGGTAACTGTGAGCATGTGGTGAGCCACACGGCCATGGCATACTCAGCCCCACGTTGGGCGCCATATGTGCCGAGCCAGCACAGCCAGGTTCAGTGAGCGTGAGAGGGAGAGGTGAAGGATTGAGAAAAGACAGACAAGAGAAAAAAGCTGGGTCTAGGTGGGACACTGTCCTCTCTGATGGAGAGCTAGTGACAGCGCCACAGACTACAAGCTGAGTCTTTATTTTATAACCAGATTCCACAAGGCAAAGTAAGGGCGTGGTCAAGATGTTTACAACATTCTCGTGGGTTTCGAATCTACTCAATTACAAGCACCTGAATTCTATCAAGCCCACATCACTCAACCACGTGGGACCACAGGTTCGGACCATAGGTTCAAGCTTACAACTATAGCCTTTGGCTATACTTGTGCTGGGAGGGCTTTGCCCTCCAAGCTAGGACTTACACATGGCTTTGCCAAGAGAGGACTGTGCCCTCTCATTAGTCCGAGGCTTGAACCTGTCCAAACACTGTAGCCGCTCTCCACATGAGCATAAACCTGAAGGTATGTGATAGATAAGGCCGATGGAGTATGATGTAAAAGATAAGCTGAAAAGGTAAGGTGTGGAGGACATTGACTACCATGCTAAGCAATGCATATTTTATTTAGTTTAAATGTTTCAACCATTTAAAACATGAGAAGGATGGACTGAGGGAGAAGGAGAAAGAGAGCAGGGTGAGAATACTGTTGCAGGGATAGAATTTGTGGGGCTTAATTTGTGGGGCCTAATTTCTGGCAGTGGACCTGAGAGTGGACAAAGGAGAGAATTAAAGATGGATACTTGGACATCATTCACATAGAAGTGTACTTTTAAACTAAGCATGGATTAGATCAGAAGTCAGCAATGTTTTTCTGTAAAGGACCAAATAGTAAATATTTTAGGTTTGCTAACTATGTGGTCTCTTTCACAACTACTCAACTCTGCTATTGAAAACAGTAAGTCAACTAATGGATATGGCTGTGTTCCAATAAAACTTGATTTATGGACATTGAAATTACATTTCACATAATTTTCATGTGTCATAATATATTCTTATTCTTTTCAACCATTTAAAAATATAAAAACTATTCTTAGCTCTTTAGCAGGGGCCATTAAAAAACAAACAGGCAGTAAACCAGATTTAGCCGCAGGCCATAGTTTGCAGACTCCAGGGTTAGATTGCCAGGGAAGATTAAGCAGAGAAGCCTTCCAGCCCCTTTGAGTTGCCCTCAGTGCCCTGGGCTTATCCACCTGAAACATTTCTCCCACTAAACCAGAGATTTTCAACCTTTGCCATCTCATGGCACACATAAACTAGTTACTAAAATTCTGCAGCACACCAAAAAATATATATTTTTTGCCAATCTGACAAAAAATAGGTATATTTTTTATTCATTCAAACCAAATGGCTATTGTTGGTGTTGGCTGTTGTCATTTTTTTATTTGACAGTATAAGGGGACAGAGGGCAGTGGCCCTCACTAAATAGTCAGATATCGGATGTTTGTGAAATTCTTGTGGCACACCAGTTGAAAATCACTGCACTAAAATCATGACTGGCTACTTATTTGTCTTTCTCCTCCACAAGTAGTGTGCTATCTGTAGCTAGGGGATGAGGTTGTACAATAGTTCATTTGTTCACTGAATCACTTTTACACTAATCATATACCAGGTACTGTGGAAGATACCAGAGGCAAAGTGGAAGCAAAAAATGCAATCCTTGCACGCATAGAGCCTACAGTCTAGAAATTGAAAGAAATCCTAAGTCATTACATAAGGAAATATAAACTTTTCATTGTGATCATGCTGTAAAGGAAAATTATAGGGTGCTACAATAGAATTTATCAGGGTCCTAATTTAGGTCAGAGGAGCTTGAAGATCTTTATAAGGAAGTACTATTTAAACTGATTCTTAAAGATGAGTAGGTTTTAACCAGGATGTGGCAGAGACTGGCCTGATGCTCACCAATCTCATTTCCTCTTCCTGGGCACACAGGAGAAATATGATTTTTTTCCTCTTTACAGTTAAGCTAGAGTCATGTGATTGTGATCTGGCCAATGGGGTGTGGGCCAATGTGATGTGTGCCATTTTTAGGCCTGGCAAAGAAAACCCCGTACATAATCACCCACACTTTCTTCTCTTCCCACAGCATTGCAAAGGCCACATATTGAATGTGGGGGTGACACAATTTAGAAGAACCCTGAACCTCTGGGTCTCCATTTGAAGAAGAGCCACCCTGACCTACATCAGACCTACTGTCCTGTGAGCAATAAATAAATGTTATTAGGCATAAGCTACTGTAATGTTGGGGTTGTTTGCTACTAAAGCATAATTGAGCTATCCTGGTGATTTCACAAGTGAATTTTTGAGGAGAGAAAATTCTAGGACAATGCAGATGCAAAGTACTGAGACAGGCAAAGAGCCTATTTACTGTATTTTAGGGATTGAGAGAATGACAATAGGGTCATAACACAGAAAGCAAGAGTTGAGGTGTGAGAGGCAGGCAAATATCCAGTCACAAAGTGTGTGGTAGGACTTGTATTTTTGGAGTTTTTCCTATGTGAAGTCAAAAGCAATGGAAGGAATTTAAACAGGGGAATGATATAATTGGGATAGTATTTTCAAAAGGTCACTGTGGTTAGTGGTTAGTGAGCTGGAGGGAGCAAGAGGGAATATAGGGAGACCAGATGGGAGATTATCACTGTAGTCTGGAAAACAGGTGATAACCGGTATAGTAGATATAGAAAGAAATGGAATGTTTCTAGATATATACAGGATGTCCCAAAAAATGTATATACACTTTGAATAATTATTAACTCCAATGGGTTAAATCTGAAAAGAAAGAAACATTGGAATTAATAATTGTTCAAAGTGTGTACATATTGTTTTAGATTATCAAAATGCCCTGTATTTGGGACTTCCTGAATTATTGAATTTGGTGGGTAAGGGAAAAAGGGGTGTCTGAAATGACACCAAGTTTCTAGCATGAAGAATTGGGTAGATGGAAGAGGATAGGGGTACATTTAAGTAAAAGCATATATCAGAGAATATCAAAAGTTTAAATTCAAAATGGCCAATGCCAATATTAAATAGTTCTGTGGATATTAAATATAAGTCCTACCACACACTTTGTGACTGGGTATTTGCCTGCCTCCCACACCTCAACTCTTGCTTCCTGTGTTATGACCCTATTGCCATTCTGTCAATCCCTAAAATACAATAGGCTCTTTGCCTGCCTCAGTACTTAAGAACTGCAGAAAAGTCTAGCATTGAGTCTTGAGAACTACAGAGGGGTCTAGCGTAGAAATATAACTTTAAGAATCATTGGCCTATAGATGATACTTGAGGCCAGAGGTATGAATAAGATTACCTGGGGAGAGAATGAGCAGAAGGAAGAAGAGGAGCCCAAGACTCAAGTCTAAGAAATTTCAAAATTGAGATGTTGGAATGAGAGGGTGAAGCCAGAGATGTAGGAGGAAAACCCGTAGAGTTGTGTGTCTTGGAAGCCAACGTTTTTCAAGAAGGAGGGAGTGGTTGGCTATGTCACATGCCCTGAGAGGTCACATAAGATGAGGTCTAGAAAGAATCTATGAATTTGCCAACTTGGGTGCCACCGGTGACAATATCCAAGGCGGTTTTGGTGGAGCAAATGGGAAGTGAAATAGAAACAGCGTGCGTGAACAAATTTTTCAAGGAGTTTGCCTCTGAAGGAAAAATAGAGAAGGAAGACCCCAGCTGTAGAGATCCAGGGAATCTTTTTTAATTTACTTTTTATTTTCAAATAATTTTAAAATTTCAGAAGAGTTTCAAAAACAGTACAGGATTTTACACAACCTCCACCGAGCTTACTCTAATATTAATATGTTACATACCATAGTTCAGTCACCAAAAACTGAGAAATTAACATTGGTGCAATACTATTAAATAAACTTCAGACTCTATAGATTTCACCACT